CAGTTGTAAATCCTATTTAACTTTCAATTTAGTGACATCAGGTCTTCCCTTTTAAATGACAGTCTTTACATTTTTTAGTTAATTGTGTTAGGTTTATTTTTTATACATCATGTGCATTGTTACTTTGTTAGCCATATTAGACAGAGTAGAAGGCCTTCCTTCACATGGTGGATGTCACTGTGTGTACGGAGGTCATCTAATCAGGACAGCCTTCGTGTCTTTAAAGATACACAGGATATGGGAACATTTTGGAGCCGGACTGATAGAGGAGAGCTATGTGTAATCCTGGGGTAAAGAGGCAAGATGCGTGAAGTTCAAGGCATGGATGGCGTGTCAGTTTCTGATACGGACAGCTAAGCATCCACCTGATGCAACACATGGACTCATGAGGTATAAGAAGGAGGAGATGACCTTGTTCAGGGCTCAATCTTTGCTCAATCTTTGCCGGACGCTTTCCTGTAACGATCTGACCTGGAATAAACACTGCTACTTTTTTATTCCTGTTTTATAGTCCTTTTTATATGGCGTTAGCTTGAGTTAAGAATAGTGAATAACTTGCCCCCAGGTAAAGAACCGGTAGGGAAGTTCAGAGGCGCAGCTGCTTTCAGAGGGACATAACTTCCATATTTAACAATAGATACTGATTTGCAATGTTCTGAAGATGTTTTAAATCTAAAATCATGTAAAGCAGATCTTGCTTAAGCCTTTCAAACCTACAACTTTAACTCCTCCTAGCATGTAAATGGCGCTTTCATGCTTGTTTTAAGCAGTCTGCTAAAATATGATTTCACCATGTAGGAGAGGGACCAAGTCATTGTTTTGGAGGTCATAAGTAAGTCTCATCTTTGGCTATAAGTCAAATTCAAAATCAGTACTGACAAGTCTCAAGTCCACTTTCAAGTCCATAATGTATACTTCAGTATTTAATAATGAAAACATGTACAACTGAAATTGAAGAAAAAAATAGTGACATTGGTTGTTAAAAATATAATAATAATACTATGTTATATAAAATTATCACATATTTCAGGTTTTTTGATTATATTTTCCATAACATTATATTAAAGACACAGGTCCCAATTAAAAACAACTAGTGCATAAATACAAAAAAAGTTGCAGTGGAAAGAATTTTTTATTTTTTTTTTTCAATTTAAAGCTACAGTGTGTAATTTTCAGCGACATCTAACGTTCAGACTGCAGACCGCAGCAACATGAACACCCCCCCACCGCTTCTCCCCCCCAACAGTACGGCGAGCGTTACAGGACAAAATGTCTTCCACGACGTCCGCATCACCTACCTTCTCAAGTGATGAGGTTTGTTTACATAGATAATTTTAATACTGCCATCTACTGTTCAGTACCGTCTCAGTTCATCTCTCTCAACTTACTTACTTTCGAGCGTAATGGGCGATCTCGCAATCGCTAGTTTGTTGGCTCTGCGCTGCCGTAGCGCAAAGATGTCTGCCTCCATGGCTGCGAGACCCGCTCCTATGTAATTATAAATAACGAATTCTAAGGCAACGCAAATATTAAGGTTAAGAGGCTGAGCTCGTAGATGATGATAAATAACATAGTTATGTATAATATATTAAATTGCTGACTGTATATCCCTGTAATTATTACACACTGTAGCTTTAAAGAAAAGACAAAAAAATAATGAGCTAGCAATGCTCTTAATAGGTGTGTGGGTGGCAAAAAAAAATCAAGATTTTAATTTAGCCCTTAAGAGGATAGTTAAATCATTCATCGTATGGATTATTTTGTCAAATGAAGTACATTAAATAAACCACTTTTGATGGAGAATGAAAGAAACATTTTATCTTAATTAATAGAGGTAAACTTGTTTTCATCAGAACTCAACCCTTGACAAGTGTTAGAAATGCATATTAGTGTTTCTTTTTAGCTTTTACATGTTTTTACAAGAGGAAAATAGTACAGAGAGCTGCACCTCCCAACTAGCACAAACATGCATCTCATGCACCCTCTCTAGCTTTAGTATTCTGTTTTAAGCTCAAAGAGTCCCCACCAGCTCTTAGTATAATGTAATACTGACTTGACCTTATATCAATAATTCATTTAGGATTGAAGAAAAAAGATCAGGAATGGCTTATATGAGCTAAAAAGTTTCGGTTTACAGAGTTAGCACTTCTGGAGAGCAGATCCTAACTTTAGAAGAGGTGTTTATTCTCTTTTTTTCTGATAAACATATTCAGTTTAATGACTTCTTTCTTACAACTATGTTATTTCTTTCCTACACTTTTTAAACCTGATTTGTCCATCATTGATAATACATACATCTATAAAATTTAATAAGATAAAAGTTAGTATTAGACTTTCTGCAAACACAGATGGGTCCTGTCTTTGCTTTTAGTTTTTCTGTTTAATAGTATGTCATACATGGCCTCTAAGAGCTGACTATTGCTATATTCCAGGTAAAACTTTCTAAAAACCCACTGTTTCTGTCATGATGGGTTTTAAAGGTCTCACCCACATGCAGAGATTCACTCAGAGTATCAGGGGAAATGTTAACAGGTTTATTGAGAGGTTAACAAAAACAGTGGGACTTCAGCGGTCTGGTGAACCGGAACCGGAAACTGTTAGGGGAGATCACAAAGATCAGTTCAAGGTCCGTAGGAAAAATGACTGAGACTGGTGAATAGCTGAGAAGACTCACGTTATGGAGATTCTTGGGTCCACTTTGTGGGGTAGGGGGTGGGGTTAATCCAGAGATGAATTAACTTGTTTGAGGGCGGACAGGCAGACTTGCGATGGGTCCAGAGGAGCAATGGAACGGACTATCACCTGGGCTTGAACAGATCTAGTGAAGGTTTCCCCTTGCTCAGTGTAACTCGAATTAGACCAGGCTTATCCAGTGGATCAGGAGGGCATCCTACCGGAGGACAGGATGCCCACAAGACAAAGGCAAGGCTTATACTCAGAGAGACAAGGCAAAGATTAGGCTCAGCTAATCTCAGTAAGGCTAGAGTACCCAATACTGGCAAACACTCTGGCGTCGAGGTGGTGACAGTCCACACCTCAAGTACTCCTCTGGTAATGACCCAACCAGCCGCAGGTGTGCAGGGAGGCCCAAGGAGAACAGGGCACCGCCTGGTTGTGGGGAGAGGAAAAACACAGAAAAACAACCCCACACAAACCGGAACCCTAACACTTTCAAGAACATGAAGTCACTGGAAATTGTCTAAAATTGTTTATGTTGGCCATTAGAGGAAAAGGTTTGAGCATTGTCTCGGTGCACATACTGCAGGCTTGAAGATGGTTGGGGGAAAAATCCTTCAGTTGCTTACAAAATAAAAAAAATTAAATGAGAGAAAAAGATTGACAGTTAAAATAGTAATCTTACAGGGCTCATTGTCTCATTTTACTGCCTCTACTGGCTCAAAGAAGGCTAGGAGAGGATGTGAACTAACTGGGACTTAATATAGGCAGCAGGATATATATATATATATATATATATATATATATATATATATATATATATATATATATATATATATAGGAAAATACGTGAATCAGGAAGTTTTCTATATACCAAACTGAACAATTGTTCTTTTCTACCTCAAAAACACTAGATTTTAAAATGGAAAAAAAAATTTGTGTATTTTTGACACCACTGCTCTTGGCAACTTGCAACTAGCTGCTTCCATAATATTTAGTGGCTGTAGTACTGTGAAGACAGTCAATTGTTTGAAGTTTATGATTATGTCAATCTTCTGCGTCAGTACCTATTACAACATACAGAAGGCATACCTTATTCCAGCTATGAATAGTATCTGGTCAAAAAGCAAGAGCAGCTCATCTTTGAGGTCAAGAAAAGAGCACAGTCTGATTAGGTGGAGATGCCAGATGCTGCTCACCAGGGCACACTGCCAAGTATGGTAGCTACTCCCTTATGGACATGGACACCTCCAAAGTGCTGGACATGCAGCTTGTACAGGTTAGATTGTGCTGTTAAAATACCCAGATTCTGATTTGATGCCATGGTTTTTGTGAGCAAACCAACATTTGAGAGTGCACAAAAGTTAACAAACATTATAGATATTGGATTTAGTGAATGTCATTTATTAACAGGGCTTTTAATCGAGTACTCTTTCAAATACAGGATTAAAGATTAATACTTTACTTAACTATGTTTTAAGTGCAGAAGTGAAAAATTCCTATGCAGGAAGTTTTTTCTTTTGAATGGAAACCTTGTATGTCTAAAACCTATCCAGATGCCGGAGTTACTGTAGCTGACTCAAAAGACACACATTCGAGTGTTTAAAAGTTTATGCGTGAGATTTATCCCTCAATTAATCATGTCATGAACGGAACAGATGGACCCAGTATTCTGGTGAGTCAAACAGTGGGAAGATTAATAAATAAAAAAACAATAATAATAATAAAATAAAAAAATAAATAATAAAAATAATAAAATAAATAAAACAGAAAGGCGGGCTCCTGTGGATCAGCAAACCTGCAACGGCTGCAGGGATGAGGCGTGACACCACCCAGTCACTGACACTCTGGAGGAGAAACACAGGTCAGTTACCACTATCATCTGGTGGGAGCTGATTATCCAAGTGAGTCACTTACCGGGTTTAACACTTCAGTCCATCCTCTCAGAGGAAGGCAGGATCCAACTGATGGACTGGTAAACGAGCTAAAGCACAGAGCTGCCCAGTGTATCCGAGATGTAGCAACCTCAGTGAACAGGCAGGAATCCAGGTCAGAGAAAACAGATCAGACAGGACAGCTCTGGGATCCAGGAGTCTCTAGCCCAACCAGGGGTTCCAATCTGAATGGGAACAGACGGATCCAGGGTTCCAGGAATCCATAAAGCATTAAGGCAGGTTCAGAGTTCCAATGAATTCAGCAGCGAGCTCAGACAGACACGCTTAGATGGAGAAAGGCAGCCTTAGTGGTTGAGGGGGACAGAGATAAGACACAGAACCAGGACAACTGTGGAACTTTAAACTGTTCTCTTCCTAGGAGCCAGGATTATGGGAATTACAACTGGCCTACCCCACACTCCGAGCCAAAAACCTGAGGGCTCCACAGAGAAGGGCCACCACCCGAGCTCCCCCCGCACATCCAGCCAAAAACCTGAGAGAAGGGCCACCACCCGAGTTCCCCCCGCACATCCAGCCAAAAACCTGAGGGCTCCACAGAGAAGGGCCACCACCCGAGCTCCCCCCACACATCCAACCAAAAACCTGAGGGCTCCACAGAGAAGGGCCACCACCCGAGCTCCCCCCGCACATCCAGCCAAAAACCTGAGGGCTCCACAGAGAAGGGCCACCACCCGAGCTCCCCCCACACATCCAACCAAAAACCTGAGGGCTCCACAGAGAAGGGCCACCACCCGAGCTCCCCCCGCACATCCAGCCAAAAACCTGAGGGCTCCACAGAGAAGGGCCACCACCCGAGCTCCCCCCACACATCCAACCAAAAACCTGAGGGCTCCACAGAGAAGGGTCACCACCCGAGCTCCCCCTGCACATCCAGCCAAAAACCTGAGGGCTCCACAGAGAAGGGTCACCACCCGAGCTCCCCCCACACATCCAACCAAAAACCTGAGGGCTCCACAGAGAAGGGCCACCACCCGAGCTCCCCCGCACATCCAGCCAAAAACCTGAGAGAAGGGCCACCACCCGAGTTCCCCCCGCACATCCAGCCAAAAACCTGAGGCCTCCACAGAGAAGGGCCACCACCCGAGCTCCCCCTGCACATCCAACCAAAAACCTGAGGGCTCCACAGAGAAGGGCCACCACCCGAGCTCCCCCCACACATCCAACCAAAAACCTGAGGGCTCCACAGAGAAGGGCCACCACCCGAGCTCCCCCTGCACGTCCAACCAAAAACCTGAGGGCTCCACAGAGAAGGGGCACCACCCGAGCTCCCCCTGCACGTCCAACCAAAAACCTGAGGGCTCCACAGAGAAGGGCCACCACCCGAGCTCCCCTCACACATCCAACCAAAAACCTGAGGGCTCCACAGAGAAGGGCCACCACCCGAGCTCCCCCCACACATCCAACCAAAAACCTGAGGGCTCCACAGAGAAGGGCCACCACCCGAGCTCCCCCCACACATCCAACCAAAAACCTGAGGGCTCCACAGAGAAGGGTCACCACCCGAGCTCCCCCCGCACATCCAGCCAAAAACCTGAGGGCTCCACAGAGAAGGGCCACCACCCGAGCTCCCCCCGCACATCCAGCCAAAAACCTGAGAGAAGGGCCACCACCCGAGCTCCCCCCGCACATCCAGCCAAAAACCTGAGGGCTCCACAGAGAAGGGCCACCACCCAAGCTCCCCCCGCACATCCAGCCAAAAACCTGAGAGAAGGGCCACCACCCGAGTTCCCCCCGCACATCCAGCCAAAAACCTGAGGGCTCCACAGAGAAGGGCCACCACCCGAGCTCCCCCCACACATGCAACCAAAAACCTGAGGGCTCCACAGAGAAGGGTCACCACCCGAGCTCCCCCCGCACATCCAGCCAAAAACCTGAGGGCTCCACAGAGAAGGGCCACCACCCGAGCTCCCCCCGCACATCCAGCCAAAAACCTGAGGGCTCCACAGAGAAGGGTCACCACCCGAGCTCCCCCCGCACATCCAGCCAAAAACCTGAGGGCTCCACAGAGAAGGGCCACCACCCGAGCTCCCCCCGCACATCCAGCCAAAAACCTGAGGGCTCCACAGAGAAGGGCCACCACCCGAGCTCCCCCCGCACATCCAGCCAAAAACCTGAGGGCTCCACAGAGAAGGGCCACCACCCGAGCTCCCCCCGCACATCCAGCCAAAAACCTGAGGGCTCCACAGAGAAGGGCCACCACCCGAGCTCCCCCTGCACATCCAGCCAAAAACCTGAGGGCTCCACAGAGAAGGGCCACCACCCGAGCTCCCCCCGCACATCCAGCCAAAAACCTGAGGGCTCCACAGAGAAGGGCCACCACCCGAGCTCCCCCCGCACATCCAGCCAAAAACCTGAGGGCTCCACAGAGAAGGGCCACCACCCGAGCTCCCCCTGCACGTCCAACCAAAAACCTGAGGGCTCCTCTGAGAAGAGGACACAATCAGGACACAGGAGACAAACACCAAACCCTCTCAATCCACTGGCTTCCGGGGATGGAAACTTGAACCAAGAACTAAACAAAAAAAAAACATTGAAAAAACAGGGATAACTAATGTCTGGCCCGATGGCTGGGCTGAACTGTATAAAAATTAGTGGGAGAAGATAAATAAGATCAATAATAATCAGAGCATGGGCAGGCTACGGCAGGCTGATCTAATCAGTCATGACCGGGGCTGCTATCATGGCAAATCACTGACTTGATGCCTGGCATACAGCAAAAGGTAGGCAGAATGACTTGAATTATATCTATCATAGCAAAAATTGGCTAAATGTTTAAAATTACAATATAGCAAAACAATAAAATAAGAATATATATACACACATATATATATATATATATATATTAGTGCTGTCAAAATTATCGCGTTATTATCGCGTTAACGCGAGGCCATTTTAACGGCGATAATTTTTTTAACGTGAGATTAACGCTATGTGGTTTTATGGTACAATTTTCCAAGTACATGCCGCTGCAGCCTGCGGGAAGGCGGGGCTATTTTCCCCCAGTGTATGCATTTTCCATAGGCTTCGAGAGCGGAGCTCCTCAAGGAAAAAAGACGCTCATACACTGGGTGGCGCTAGTGCCTTTTCTTTCAGCCCCACCACCAACAAACAAGTTGAGTGTCTGGTAACTAGTAGCAACCTGAAATACGCTGAGAAAACAGATTACTGAGGTGAAATGGAATCTGCTACGGCACTCTTGCTGTCTGTGTACGCCACAGGTCGGTATCATGTGTGTGTGTGTGTGTGTGTGTGTGTGGGTGGGTGTGTGTGTGTTCTCATTTTTGTTAAAAGGCTGAAAAGTAACTTTCTAGAGCATAGACTACCTCCATCTAGTGATGTCGGTCTATTGATTTTGATGTATTGATTGAAAATTGTTCATTATTATCTTGGTTAATTAACATCTAATGTTAACTGTACTACATTTTATAGCAGTAGGGTAAAATGCTTGTCTTTGTTCAAAAGACTGTATTAACTGTAAAGACTGTCTTTTACATCAGCCTGTTTTCAGGGCCTTTTTTTTGCCTACATACACTATATTGCCAAAAGTATTTGCTCACCTGCCTTGACTCACATATGAGCTTAAGTGACATCCCGTTCCTAATCCATAGGGTTCAATATGACGTCGGTCCACCCTTTGCAGCTAGAACAGCTTCAACTCTTCTGGGAAGGCTGTCCACAAGGTTTAGGAGTGTGTTTATGGGAATTTTTGACCATTCTTCCAGAAGCGCATTTGTGAGGTTGCACACTGATGTTGGACGAGAAGGCCTGGCTCTCAGTCTCCGCTCTAATTCATCCCAAAGGTGTTCTATCGGGTTGAGGTCAGGACTCTGTGCAGGCCAGTCAAGTTCATCCACACCAGACTCTGTCATCCATGTCTTTATGGACCTTGCTTTGTGCACTGGTGCACAGTCATGTTGGAAGAGGAAGGGGCCAGCTCCAAACTGTTCCCACAAAGTTGGGAGCATGGAATTGTCCAAAATGTCTTGGTATGCTGAAGCATTCAGAGTTCCTTTCACTGGAACTAAGGGGCCAAGCCCAGCTCCTGAAAAACAACCCCACACCATAATCCCCCCTCCACCAAACTTTACACTTGGCACAATGCAGTCAGACAAGTACCGTTCTCCTGGCAACCGCCAAACCCAGACCCGTCCATCAGATTGCCAGATGGAGAAGCGCGATTCGTCACTCCAGAGAACGCGTCTCCACTGCTCTAGAGTCCAGTGGCGGCGTGCTTTACACCACCGCATCCGACGCTTTGCATTGCACTTGGTGATGTATGGCTTGGATGCAGCTGCTCGACCATGGAAACCCATTCCATGAAGCTCTCTGCGCACTGTTCTTGAGCTAATCTGAAGGCCACATGAAGTTTGGAGGTCTGTAGTGATTGACTCTGCAGAAAGTTGGCGACCTCTTCGCACTATGCGCGTCAGCATCCGCTGACCCCGCTCCGTCAGTTTACGTGGCCTACCACTTCGTGGCTGAGTTGCTGTCGTTCCCAAACACTTCCATTTTCTTATAATACAGCTGACAGTTGACTGTGGAATATTTAGGAGCGAGGAAATTTCACGACTGGATTTGTTGCACAGGTGGCATCCTATCACAGTTCCACGCTGGAATTCACTGAGCTCCTGAGAGCGACCCATTCTTTCACAAATGTTTGTAAAAACAGTCTGCATGCCTAGGTGCTTGAATTTATACACCTGTGGCCATGGAAGTGATTGGAACACCTGATTCCAATAATTTGGATGGGTGAGCAAATACTTTTGGCAATATAGTGTATTTGTTATTTTTTGCTACATGCCTCCCCATCTTCTTGCCATATGTTTCTATGGCATAAATCAGTGTCTGTGACCTGTTTTCATTTTTAAAAAAGAACATTGGCACAAACCTAGCCTGTATGTATTTTTTGTATGTCATCGAGAGTATTTAAATGATTTTCAATCAGAAAAAAAATTTGCGATTAAAATGCGATTAATCGCGAGTTAACTCAGGCATTGATGCGATTAATCGCGATTAAAAAAATGTAATCGATTGACAGCACTAATATATATATATATATATATATATATATATATATATATATATATATATATATATATATATATGTTGCACCGATACCATTATCGGATGGGGCCCCGATACTGCCCTAAAATGGTGGTATCCGTATCGGCTAGTACCAACATATAGGGCAACGATACCATTTTGAGAGCCATAAGTTTATTCAACTATTGTATGGTAGGCAATAAAAAGTTCTACTGGATTAACTTTGTATTTGATTTTTTCCTGCTTCACAAAGGTAGGCAGCAGCTCGACAAAGCCATGATGGCAATTATTTTACATTATTATGGTACCGGTATCGCACAGCCAGGTATCGGTATCGGGGCCAAAAAATGGCATCGGCGCAACACTACTATATATATATATATATATACATATATATAGCTGATTATGGCCAAGTGGAAGTTGGTGATGAACCACATTGTAGACATCCATGAACACTCATTTGAGAACTTCCCAACCTGTGGACATGAGGAGTAGGCAGAGGAGAGAGAGCGGAATGCAGAACTGAATAATTATATCAGCTTTCTCAAAAGTCAATCTCCTAAGGGTTTTTCATAATACTTCCGTCACAATCACTGCTTTCAAGGGCCCATGTTGAGGTGAAACCAATTGTCACTAACTGTACTCTGCTTGCTGACATTGGTAAATTGTCACCTCATGTGCAGACGTTAAGGTTAAAAGCTACCACAGTGTGATGTGCTTCTTTGCCCCAAAGTTCTTGCACTTCTTCTATCACAGTATGAATGCCAGGTAGGATACTTACACCCTGAATGGCTAATATCTTAACTGACATATTTTCATCCTAATTCCAAGTACAGTGGAATCCACATATAGTAGTAATCAACTGCTTATATAGATCAAAAGGCTTGGGACAGAATAATTTCTATACAAATGCTGTTTAAATAATTTGTTTATAGTAATCAAGAGATCCGCTTATTGTGCTAATTTTTGGCCATTTTATGAATGTAAACGTGCAAAAATAATTAATAAGTGGATCGAAGGTGATGACAGCACTCCGGTGTCAGAGCCCATTAAGGATGAGGAGGATAATCGTTGAGGTACAAGATTGCTTTGGTGTGGGTACCAGTGCTACGCGCAGGAGGAGGAGGATGAAGAAGAAGATACTGTTGTCCCTTCCAGAGCTGACATGAGGAATGCAGTTTGCATTTTAAAGACTGGTCTCCTGCATTTTGGTTTCAAAAACTTTGACCTTTTACATCGTTTTGAAAAATAAGTGAACTCAGTGTTGGACAACACTGATCCAGGGAACCATGGATAAATATGTTAAGTGATTTCTTAATGCGGCGCAGCAGATCTGCAACACAAAACAGAGGTAGGCTAGCTTTAATTTTCTGTAGCCTATGCAGTTATCTTCTATGTTATTCTATGAAACCGTTTGTTTCAAACTTTATTTTCAGACTTGTTATAAAAATGCACCAGTGGCACAGCAGAGCAGACGCACAGCACATAATAAGTTACGTAAGCTACCAGAGTTATGTCTGCGCACAGCGCAGTATATTGTTATTAAACTTGCATGGTACTGTAATAAAATTCAGTAAATGCGGACGCTATCCGTTTCATGTCATTTTTCTCATTGAAAAACCACACAAATGTTATTTAGATGATATCCTGCATAAAAATAGGTGAAATAACGGTAAATTCAGTTTTAGTAATCAACTGCTTATAGTGTTCAAATTGGCTCTGGACCAGCGTGATCACTAAAAGCGGATTCCACTGTATTATCTTATCATGAAAATGTCTGTTAAAGATTGATCCTTGCCAATGAAAACTCCTGCAGACAGAAGACTAAGAATAAAGCTGGAAAAGAAATGTGGAAGCTCTCATTTCTCCAAAGGCCAAAAAAAGGAGAACCAATAGCCAAACAAGTTAAAATCCCTTGTACTTATGCTGTGTACTTGGTATAATGTTCACTTTCACACTTGGCTTTTCACATTTCATGCATGAAATGCTTATTGTTTCTATTTCAGCATACATTGATGAATTGTTGGATAACAGGCAGCAATACACTGCTCAGAGCAGGCAGTGGGAAGGACCCTCAGCATCAGAGCCGCTCTCGCAGCTTTCTTCTCACTTTCTGCTGTCTGGAAAGAGACAGAGCAAGGCACTCATCTAGACATTGCTTTTTTGGAAAGTCAGAAAGCAAACTTGTCAGATGATGCGATGGCAGTTAGAAAAATAACGGCATTTGCCAAGAGAACTGAAGGAAAAGGTAGACTTGACTGTAAAAGCTAAAACTTGGCACAGACTCAGCTAACAACATTTAAAGATTACAGGTTGTAAAGCAGCTAGAATATGCTCAGAATGATAATGTGTTTAGGTTTTATTCATAAAAATATGAAAAACCTTATTTTAATCAGGGCTTAAGCCTCAGTATGATGTTAGAAATGGTTGTTTTCCATCCACTCCACTGCCAAAATATGACTGCATGGCCCTTCATAACTAGTGTATAAAATATATATTTTTTGG